CGACCCTATAATTCAAGGGTCAGAAAACTTTGGCTCCCAGGCCATCAGGATAAGCTGCTGGGGGAGCGAGATGATTTGTTTACCTCAAGTGTCCGCAGGCACGGAGGTAAACCTAAGTAAACAAAGTGTCCCGGCACCCCAGCTGCTTACCCTGATGGGCCAGGACAGCAACTGGTGGGGAAATTTTTGGGGGGGAGAATCTGGGAGTCAGGGGAGTAACCCCTGTGACCCCCCCCACATGACCCCGCCCCTAGCCTGGGACCCCCACACTCTCCCCATCCCATCCCTTCCCACCTTATCTGGGGAGGGCCAGGGGAGGATGTCTCTGACCTGGCTGGAGCTGCTCCGGCAGGCTGGGCGACGCGGCCGCAGCCTGCTCCGGCGGGCCAGACCGGGTGGTGCGGCCGCAGCATGTTCCTTGCTCCCTCTGTTGGGGGGAGGGGCTGTGTCCCACCTGTCCATCTCTATGCCCGTTCATAAGCCAACCCCCTTCTCTGGTGCTTCCCTTTTTTTGCTAAAAAAAATTTGGCTTATGAACGAGTATATACGGTAAATTGGTAGCCTGGCTTTCAGAAATGCCATGCATCTGCAACTGCCAATGGAAGTCCCAGTTTCATTGAGGAACAATTGGACTTTTTGACCTGCGCTGGTGCTATAGACAATACCAATGTGCCCATTCTGGGCTTACCCCATTAAGTCAATACCTTCATAGAGAAGGCTGCAACTTCCTGGTGATCCGAGCCTTGGTGTATCACTGTGGCTGGATCCTGCATGGATGTTTAGATGGGGTGAAAATGCGCGTTATAAGATTTCAGTAATGCTCCACTTTTCTGCTGTGGACAAAGAGGCATGGTATTCTCACCCCACAATGGACATTAATGTGGTATCCAACGTCACTGTCACTTTACAGACCATGAACGCCAATAGATTCTGAGTCACGAAGCCAAACCTGGCTCTGCAAATCTTGATAGACAACAGTTCAATTAGAGCATGTCTACAGCTGGGAGCAAGTCTCCCAGCCTGGGCAGACAGACTTGTGCTAACAGGACTTGAGCCTAGTGCACACTAAAAACAGCAATGGACGTTGCTGCACCAGTGAAGGCTTGGGGTAGCTACCTGACTTGGACCCACCCAAATTTCTGGATTTGAGCTCAGGTGGCCAGCCCGAGCCATTGCGGGTGCAGCATCATCCAGGCTGCTATTTTTATTGTCCTACCTCAAGCCCCTCCAATGCGAATCTGTCTGCCTGGCTGGAAGGCTCATTCCCAGCGGCAGTGTAGACCTTCAAGGCTTGACGGGCATAGCCTTGACGTGTAATCACAACTGTTCTGTGAATATTTGTGTACCACTGCAAACGTGTGTGTGTGTGTGTCTCATGCTATCGGTGTGCTAGGGATTTGGAGTTGTTAACACTAAAGTTATGTAGTGTAGGTGGGGCCTTTTCTAGGTGGGAAAAGGCGGAAGCTTTCACAGCTCTAGCCACTGCTGCTTGCTTCTCCATTCCATAAATATTTATAACTTGCTGAGTTTTATGTGCATATCATTGACTCTCATGTCCTCAGATGTGGAGAATGCTTTTATGCAGGCAGATTATCTTTTTTTTAAAAATTGAGGTAGGAATCTCATTTTTTTTCTTAAAAGTGGATTTGATTGTATATTCTAAGCAATGTTTTGTCTGATGTGCTGAGCTTGCTATTAGTTGATGGTGCAGCTAATCATGGCTACCCACACTGCATATTTCTGTGTGCTTTAGAACAGTGGTTCTCAACCGGGGTATGCAGAGGTCTTCTGGGGGTACATCAACTCATCTAGATATTTGCCTAGTTTTACGAGAAGCTACATAAAAAGCTCTAGCCAAGTCAATACAAAGTAAAATATCATACTGACCATGAGTTGTTTATACTGCTCTATATACTATACACTGAAATGTAAGTACAATATTTATATTCCAATTGATTTATTTCATAATTATATGGTAAAAATGAGAAAGTAAGCAATTTTTTCAGTAATAGTGTATTTGTGACCCTTTTGTATTTGTATGTCTGATTGTGTAAGCAAGTAGTTTAAGTGAGGTGAAACTTGGGATAAGCAAGATTAATCACACTCCTGAAAGGGGTACAGTAGTCTGGAAAGGTTGAGAACCACTACTTTAAAACACTCAGCTTTTAATATTAATTAAAAGGACATCAAAGGAAATGAAGTCACTAAAACAGACTAGTGTGCATCATTATAGGTGGACAAGGATCATTTTTTTAATTCCCCAGGCCTTTTGTGATATATACCATAGGATCTCTTCTAAAGTGAGGCTTTCTCCTGCTCTGTTCCCTTTGGAAGGGAACAAACACACAATAATTGATAGTATTTTTCAAATGTATTGCCAATGAGATTTTTAAGCAGCTTAATTTCTTATAGGTCCTGTGGGGGATTAAGTATTTTGGGATTTGGTCTTTTCTAGATTAAACTCTGAGCCCATTAGAGTTGATGAAAAGTTAGTTGTTAAATGTACTACCCTACCATTATCACTGTTTAGAAGGATTATATTGTGTGTTTATTTGCATGAATATCATTTCACAGCTACTCTTGGTTTTTCAAATTCTGAATTTTAGAATCCTAAAATATGGATTTTTAGACTTACATAGAAGATCATATTTGTGAGCAAGACCAGTACAGTGCCAGCCACCTAGGAGACCTGTACATGGAATTGGATGTTGAAAGTGGGGGACTGAGCATGAAATTGAGCACCAGTCCCAAACAATCAGAATGCAGCCCTTTAAACACTCTAATTTTTAAGAGGTTTATTTAGCTATTTATATTTAGATTTATATAACATGTACTTATCCAAGTTCTAAGTATTATAAAGAGCTTTTTAAAACACCATTGCACTGAAGTCAAATATAGCAAAAGAGGACCTTTGAGGAATGAGTATTTTCACCCTTAAATTCTGATATTGGAATTAGGCATTAGAGAAAATCAGATTTCCCAGAACCGAGGAACTTAAAGATTTGTAATGTATTACAGTTCAAGGACAGGATCAGACCCAGTTCTACCCAGATCATCAGTAGTATTTGGTATTGGTCTATCCCTTTTTAAATGTAATTGCCACTTAATCTTATATTCATCAGGGATTGCAATGCTAGTAGTACAAAATGAACTGCTCAACTGAAAAGTGCCTCATCATCTTTGCAAGGGAACAAACACTTTAAAAGCAAATGGAAGACTTGGTCAGATAAAACTTTAATTTTGTTTTTCAGTTACTTATTGGGTTAAAATATTTTATGGGAAAGTGTGTCCTCTTTTATTTATTTCCTGGAAATAGTATTGAATTTTTATCTAGCCCTAACTAGTGTGTGTGTGCGCGCGCACACACATTTTATATAATATAATATGATGATTGAAGAGCAGCATTAAGTAGGGACATTTTATTGAAAAGTAACA